AACACACACACACACACACACACACACATACATATATAGATGTATACAGTAGTTTTAGATGGACACAATACCTTAATTGAATCTGTTCGTTTATATTTGGTGCTGAGGATTGAACCCAGGGCCTCACACATGCTAGGTAAGTGCTGTACCACTGAGGCACAACCCCAGCCCTCTTCACTCACTCTTGAGCACCAAAGCCTTTTATATGAAAGAGGTTTCAAATAAATGCATCCAGGAGAGGATGGAGGCTGTTCTGGGGCTCATAGTTAGGAAGGAATAGTTTCTGTGTATGCAAGTATAGGTGCAGAGAGAATTGGGGCACAGGGCAAATGATTCCTAAATTCTCATTGAAAGAAGTCAGAATAGATGTTTCTCAGGGTTTTTTTTTTTTTTTTTTTTTTTTTTGTCTTTCTGCTTCTTCTTTCTCTTCCCCTTCTTCTCCTTCTCTATTCTTTTTCTCCACCTCCCTCTCCTCCTCCTCCTCCTCCTCTTTTTCTTCTTCATCTTCTCCTTCTCTTCTTCCTCCTCCTCCTCCTCTTTCTCCTCTTCCTCCTTCTTCTTATTCCCCCTTCCTTCTCCTCCTCTCTCTCTTCCTCCTCTTTCTTCTGCATGCATGAACTCAAGGTCTCACACAGGCTAGGCAAGTACTCTACCTCTAAGCTACCCTCCTAGCTATTTTTATTTTGCCACAGGGATTCTCTAAGTTTCCCAGGCTGGCCTTGAACTTTTGATCCTCCTGCCTCAGGCTCAGAGTAATTGGGATTTCAGGCCTGTACCAGTGGGCCTCTTGTTTTCTGTTGGCCTGTTGCAAGTTGATAGTCTTCCCCCTGGGTTCCCTCCCTCCAAGAATGGCCATCCACATGCCTTGTGTCTGCTCATGAAGGAGCCTCCCCAGTTTGCTATCTACTTGTTCTCTCTCAGTCAAGCAGGGCAGTGAGGGTGGGATGGTGGTGGTTCATGGCACCTTTTAAAATAATTAATCTGGGGCTGGAGTTGTGGCTCAATGGTAGAGCGCTCACCTAGCATGTATGAGGCACTGGGTTCGATCCTCAGCACATAAATGTAAAATAAAGATACTGTGTCCACCTAAAACTTAAATATAAATATTTAAATTAAAAAATTAATCTGATTTAACTAGTAGTTTCCCAATCATTATATCACTGTGTCTGGGAGCTTCCCAATCATTATATCACTGTGTCTGGGAGCCTGATGGTGGTTCTTGACCAAGGTTTTATCTAATATTGCAAAAGTAAAATTCCTATCTCAATAGCCAAGGATCCCAAAGGTCTTTTTCATTCCTACCCTCTCTTTCATCTTACAACTTGATGTTTCATTATTTCAAAATACCTATCCCCTTTTGAGCAGAAGTTCTAAGGATCAATCTACTTTCTCTTCCTGGTACCAAAATTCACAGCTTCCCACCCCTCTGTCTATTACTAATATGGCCCTGTCTCATTTCTTCTATTTAAGCCTTTTTATTTGGAAATATTTTTTTAAAGAGAGAGAGAGAATTTTTTAATATTGATTTTTAGTTTTTGGTGGGCACAACATCTTTATTTTATTTTTATGTGGTGCTGAGGATCGAACCCAGCGCCCCGCGCATTCCAGGTGAGCGCTCTACTGCTTGAGCCACATCCCCAGCCCTGGAAATATTTTTAAACCTTTGGAAAAGCTAAAACATTAAAAAGGAAAAAGTGACAGAACTCCAATAGCCATTTGCACAGATTCACTTATCAGTTCTTTTCTTTTAAGAAAAGAACTGTTCTGTCTAGATATATATGACAGTAGAATTTTTTTTTGTGTGTATGTGGTCCTGGTAATTGAACCCAGGGCCTTGTGCATGAGAGACAAGCACCCTACTAACTGAGCTGTATCCCCAGCCCAGCAGAGTGCATTTTGACATATTATACATACATGGAATATTACTTAGGATCCCACTCTTTGGTTGTACATGATATGGAGCTTCACTGGTCATGTATTCATATATGAACATAGGAAAGTTTTCATTCTACTGTTTCATTCATTCTACTGTCTTTCCTATTCTTACCCCCTCCCTTCCTTTCATTCCTTTTGTTTAATCCAGTGGCTTCTATTCTTCCCTCTCCCTCCACATAGTAGAGAGAACATTCAGCCTTTGATTTTGGGGGGTTTGGATTATTTCACTTAGCACAATAGTTTCCAACTCCATCCATTCACTGGCAAAAGTCATAAAACCACTCTTTTTTATGGCTGAATAATATTCCATTGTGTCTACATACCACATTTTCTTTATCCATTCATCTGTTGAAGGGCACCTAGGTTGGTTCCATAGCTTAGATATTGTGAATTGAGCTGCCATAAACATTGATGTGGCAGCATCACTATAGTATGTTGATTTTAGGTCCTTTGGGTGTAAACAGAGGAGTGGGATAGCTGGGACAAATGGTGGTTCCATTCCAAGTTTTCTGTGGAATCTCCATCCTGCTTTCTGGAAAGTGGTTGTACTAATTTGAAGTCTCACCAGCAATGTGTAAGTGTGTTTCTTTTCTTTTTCACCTCTAGAGCCTTGAGTGTGCTAAACACATGCTCCAGCCCTGAGCCACACCACCAGCCCTAGATTCACTTCTTATCATTTTGCCACATACATTTTATCATTTACTATCTATCCACCTATAATATATTTTCTGAATCATTTGAGAATAAGTTGACCCTTTAACTGTGGGCACTTCAGTTATATCCTAAGAATTAGGATTTTCTCTTACATAACCATATTAGAGTTAACAACCTCAATTAATTTAACACCAAGGAAATACTTTTATTTGATGTGTTCATATCTACTACTGATTTCATAATTTACTTTATGGCATTTTTTCTTCCATTACAGGAACCAGTCTAGGGATAGGAACTGCATTCATTTTTTTTCTGTCTCTTTGATCTCCTTCAGTCTGGAGCATTTCCACAGTCTTTCTTCCTTTCTTCTTTCTTGTTTGGTACCAGGGATTGATCCCAGGAGGACTTAACCACTGAGCCATATCCCCAGCCTTTTTTTTTGTATTTTATTTAAAGACAGGGTCTCATTGAGTTGCTAGGGCCTCGCTAAGTTGCTGAGGCTGGCTTTGAACTCATGATCCTCCTGCCTCAGCTTCCCAAGCTTCTGGGATCATAGGTATGTGCCACCATGTTCAGCATGTTCCATAGCTTTTCTACGCCACTTATAACATTGAAATTTTTTAAAGTTTTTTTTTTTTTTTTTCTCATTTTGTGTGTCTGATTTTTTCCTCTTGGTCAGAGTCCAGTTCCACATTCCCCATTGCAATCTTACGTAGGCCACCTATAGCTACAGGCACATGACACCTTCCTGCCCCTCACTGTGATGTTGAATTGTATAACTAGGTTGTTAGCCAGTTCTCCTCTCTATAGTTACCACATCTTCCCTGGTACTAAACAGCAATCTGTGGGAGACATTCTAAGATCATACAAATATGCTTCTCATCAAAATTTCCCCACTACCTTGATTTAGAATTTATTAATGATTCTTTCCTAACTAATCTTTATTATGATGATTATAAAATGTGTAAGAATCGTCTTCTGTTCTCCATTTATGTATTTGTTTCTTTGCTTATCATCAGTTTATTGTATGGTTGAAGATTCTTATTTTTTCCCCAAAGCCCTATAAGTCAAATTCAATACTGTCTTTAATAATTTTGTGCTCATCTGGATTGATGGTATATGCCTGTAATTTTGGCTATTAGGGAGGCAGGAGCATCTGAAGTTTAAGGCCAGCTGGTGCAACTTAGTGAAACCCTGTCTCATAATAATATTTAAAAATCAAGGGCTGGGAATGTATTTCTGAGGTATAATGCTCCTGGGTTAATTCGCCAGCATAGGGAAAAATAAAAGTGAGCTCAAGAATTCTCAGATCTGATCTGGCCAATGGAAAGCTCTTCAAGCTCTCTCTTGTGTCCCTGTGACTTTTTTTTTTTTTTCCCCTCTTTTTCTAGCGCTGGGAAATTGAATCCAGGGTTTACACATACTAGGGCAAGGTCTGGGCCACTGAGCTACATCCCCAGCCTTCATCCCCAGCCTTCTTGTTTTTGTCGGGTTGCTGTTGTTATTGAGTGTGGCATGTTTTTAAGCTCTCTCTTACTTTCTGGCATAAAAAGATCCTCCTTGCTCATTTTGTACTGTTCCCCTTCTCATCTTCAGCCTTTCTTCCCAGGCCACCTCTAGAGTGAGCTCTGCAGGTGGAAGGCTTGAAGGTGGTGCTTCAGGAGTACAGAAGACGGGGGGTGGGGGGTGCTAAGAGCTGGTACAGTGCTCAGCAGTCTGAGATGCTGCAGAAGGGCTCAGAGCATGCCCTCTGAGTCCTCTACTGCTGTCCCAGGCAGGTATTCCGCACAGAGAAAAGAAGCGTTTGGGGGCTGGGGTTGTTGCTCAGTGGCAGAGCGCTTGCCTAGCATGTGTGACACCCTGCGTTCAATCCTCAGCACCACATATAAATAAATAAATAAACAAACAAATAAATAAAATAAAGGTTCACTGACAACTAAAAAAAATAGAAGTGCTTGGATCTTGCAGATACAGTTACTGAGTCCTCTACCATGTGCAGGGCACTGTGAGCCATATACAAGTTATAAGACACCATTTCAAGGACACTGGTCTAGTAGGCCACACACTCGTATACCTGATAGGGTGATTTCATTGTGCTGCCAGTGAGGTACATGCAGGAATTTGGGGAATTCTGGGGTGAGGATAGTACTTATGTCTGGAGGATTGCAAAAGGCTTCATTGGTGACTCTTGGGTTAGATCCTGAAGGAGGGTAGGATTTGGAAGAATAGTTTTCTGGTGAAACCAGAGGTTGCTACCTCTGAGCACTGAATCAAGAGAGACTTTGCAGCTTCATTTCAGCTAGATCCAGCCCTCGGCCAGGTGCTGTAAGGAGCATGAGTGCTCCTGTGAGTGAGGGACAGCACCCTCTTGCAGCCTTGGTGTCATGATGCCATTTATTTTTTATTTTCAGATGCAGATGAAACATGCCCTTCATTCACCAGACTGAGCTTTCACAGTGCCGTGGTGGGTACTGGGCTGCAGGTGAGGCTGATGCTCTATACGAAGAGAAACCAGACCTGCGCACAAATCATCAACTCAACAGCTTTTGGGAACTTGAATGTGACCAAGAAAACCACCTTCATTATTCATGGATTCCGGCCAACAGGTTCCGCTCCAGTTTGGATGGGAGACTTAGTAGAGGCTTTGCTCTCTGCAGAACACATGAACGTGGTTGTTGTTGATTGGAATCGAGGAGCTACCACCGTCATATACACCCACGCCGCTAATAAGACCAAAAAAGTAGCCATCATCTTGAAGGAATTTATCGACCAGATGTTGGTAAGAAAGACTTCTCTTGTATGATTTGTGGTTAAATTGAAACTGACTAATTACCTGGAGATTTAAAGCCAAGAGATATCTTCAATGAAAAGGGGGCCAATTTTGTGAAATTCTGCAAATCTAAATAAGGCCCAGGGAGGGCTAGAGAAGGACCCTAAGTAAGGTCCACAGGTATTTTGGTGCAGGTTGTGTACCGCACAGGACACTGATGTAAGGGAGCAGCATTGTCATTGTAGATGTTGTAGATTTACATATTTTTCATGTTTACTATGATAATTTTCCCACATATGACAACAAAGTATCATAGCAAGGGGAAGCTTTCTCTCTCTCTCTCTCTCTCTCTCTCTCTCTCTCATTTGTGACACTGGGCATTGAGTCTAAGGCCTTGTGCATGCTTAAGTGCTCTACTGCTGAGTTACATCCCTAACCTTTTAAAATTTTAATTTAGATTTTTTTTTTTTTTTTTTATACCAGGGATGCTCTCCCACTGAGCTATATCCCTAGACTTTTTTTTTTTCCCCCTTAATTTTGAGATAGGGTCTCACTAAGTTGCCCAGACTGATCTCAAAATTTGTGATCTTCCTGCCTCAAGTTCTTGAGCCACTGGTATTATAGGCATATACCATTATGCTCAGCTCTTTTTCTAGTTCATATAAAAGTGTCTTATGGGTCAGAGACAGTCTGTCTAGGAGCTTCCCGGTTTAAACATCTAGAGCTTCAACTTTGGTAGCTGTTGTTTCTGCTAGAAGTGCCAGAGCTTTAGTGACCCAGTTATCCAAAACTGATCTGATGAGATAATTAATGTTTCTAGAAGACTTACAAAGGTCAGAAATTAAATTTATTTAGTGACCCACCTCATGCATTGTTCCTTTTAACAACAGCAACAATGACAAGTGGCATGAAATCAAGAAGATAGGTGACATGAGTATTATCCAAGCCCCCACCTAAACCACCGTCTAGGGAGAAGAATATTTGAATGATTCGGGACAAGCTGTCCCAGTAGCCTATGGGTAGTGTGGTCCACCTCTCCAGGTTTTTCCCTTGTTTCCTTCCCTCTCCATGGTGACTTCATTCTCTGGGCCAGGATGAAGATAAGGGTGTTCATCAAATTGTACTGTCATCCCTTTCCCCAGTCTGCTTAGGGCTGGGGCTGGGGCTCAGTGGCAAAGTGCTTGCCTAGCTCATGTGAGGCACTGGGTTCGACTCTCAGCACCACATAAAAATAAATAAATAAAATAAACAACGTACTGTGTCCATCTACAACTAAAGATGTGTCCACTTAGTTTCTAGCAGAAGCATGAGTGGGAGTCAAATGGTAATCCCAACAACTTGGGAGGCTGAGACAGGAGGATTGCAAGTTCAAAGTCAGCCTCACCCTGTCTCAAAATAAAAAATAAAAAGGGCTGGGAATGTGGCTCAGAGGTTAAGGGCCCCTGGCTTTAATCCTCAGTACAAACAAAAACAAAAACAGTGTGAGTGGACTCACCATGACACAAAGGTTAAGGTACAAGTTTGGGGTTGGGCTGGTGGGTTTGAATCCTGCTCTACTATGCTTTCAACTTCCCGATCTCTACCACGATTTCAGTGAGCCTCAGATTCTTTGCATAATGAAAAGAATAGTATTTATATTGTGGGGGTCTTGTGACATTTAAATGAGACCATAGATGTAAGACACTTAGAAATATTTCTCCAAAGTCAATAGGTAGGAAATTTCTCCAAATGTAGTCAATTCCTTGACTCTTCAGAATGTGTAACTATGGACTTGTTGGAATTCCAGGCGGAAGGAGCTTCTCTTGACAACATTTATATGATTGGAGTAAGTCTAGGAGCCCACATATCTGGATTTGTTGGAGAAATGTATGATGGGCAGTTGGGGAGAATTACAGGTAAGACTCCTGTGGGTCTGTGGGGTGTAGCTTGGGCCAGGTGGTCACTGGGGGGATATTACACAGGCAGTCCTAGTCCTCGGATTTGAAGCCAGCTCTTCCAATTATCTAACCTCTCTAAGCAAGGACTTCATTCTGCAAAAGATAAACCATAATAATGTTAACCTCAGGTTATTATTTAATCGAATATATGTAAAGCACTTTACAAATTGTATGCCTCAGATAAGATGGGTGGTGACTTAATTTCTCTTATACCTAGGAAAACTGCAATGTCCTGGGGAATTTGATCTATTTGACCTGAAAAGAGTCTTCTTCCTTTATTTAATCTAGAATGTGGAACTATATACCTAGAACATCACGGTCCCCAGAAGTAGTCTCATGGTAGGAAAATGATATCGGAATTTTGATTGCTGAGCCTGACTCTGTAAATATCAGTTTTCCAGCAAACACTGAATGAAAACACTCAGAAATGCAGCAGGTTAAACCCCAAACAAAGACTCCCTTGCTAGGATCTCTTACCTAGAGCTTAGTAACTTTCCACAGCTATTCACAAAGGGCTGAGGGTAAGGGTGGCTCTCTATTTCCAAGACCTTGACCTCTCCCATTCTTTTGAGGTACTGGGGTGCTTTACCACTGAGCTACAGCCCCAACTCTTGCCCTGGGCAAGTCACTTCTATCCCTGTGACTCGGTGTCCATCTCTCTGTCTCTGTCCCTATCTGTTTATCTCCCTCTCTCTTTATCTCTTTTTCTCTTTCTCCCATACATGCACATCTTACATTGACTGGCATCAATTCTGGCTATGTATTTTAGGTCACATTGTTTGTCCTGGTTATTTGTTTAAATTTCGCTTTAATCTGAAGGTTCAGGATTCCTCATCTTGTTTAATCTGCTTTCTTGGGGAAGCAAATTGTTTTTTTAGTTTGAAAATGTATTGTTACTATTTTTGGAAAGCAAGGTGTCTTTAAAATTTTTCCTCCTGTAAAAAGGTCAGATGGCTTGAGTTTGAATTTGTGGGAATTAAAAAGAGAGAGAGAAAAAGAGGCAGAGGAGAGAGGAAGGAAGGAAAGAAAGAAAGAAAGAGGAAGAGAGGGGAAGAGAATAGAAAAAGAGACAGGCTGATAAGCAGGTCCTGATTTGTAGCAATTGCTGATTTTCTGGGGTCTAAAACTCCCACCACGACTGATCTCAAGCTACCAACATGACATCAATTGAGCAGAGTCTGGGTGGAGATGAACAACATTTGTTCTGCAGCCCACCATGTCTCGTTCTATCTGCAAGTCAGGTGCACCCCTAAGCCTCCCAGCCAATCAGTTCCCACAATTACTTTGAAAGTGAACTACAACAGGTGATGTCTCTAACCATGGAAATTCCCAGGCCAGCCTTCCTTTCACTCTGGGCCCATGTGACCCTGCCCCGTAGCCTGGACTCAGCTGATCATCCACAGCTCCCTTTTCAACCTCCATATTCTCTGAATCCCTAGGTTAGTCTCCATCTTCCCCAAGAGCAGCTGAGGCAGAAAGCATTTCCCCTCCCTACTCCCCTTCCTCGGCCTTGCCTGGGTGGGCTCACTGGGTTGCAGGGTGGGAATGGAACCTGTAACCTAAGGACACAATTCACATCTCACTCCCATGGATCAGATGGCTCTGTCTATTACTTACCTTGATGGTCTTGATGGCTGCTTGATGCTGTGTTTTCAATTTCTTTCTTTCTTCTGCCCCTCTTTTTGCCTCTCTCCACGAATATCTCTTGGTTTTTCCTCTCATAGCAAGTCAAACACTCTACCACTGAGCTACATCCCCATCCCCTATCTTTAACTTCTCCAAGAGAAGATGATGGATGGTGAATGGGTTGCAAACATTTCAAGTACCTGGATAATTTGTGAATACTTTAAATTTGATTCTCAAACTTGACTGTAAGTTTGCATGAAACTTGCCTTGGGGTGCTGGAGAAAATGCCAATGGGGTGGCCTGAGTTGGAGGTAGGAGTCTGTATTTTTGTTTCATATATATATATATATATATATATATATATATATATATATATA